GGGGGGGGGGGGGGGGGGGGTCTAATCGCTGACGCCTGGCATTCCCAGTCAGTGAGTGCCATGAAGTCGTAGGAGCGGGTCGACGTGATGAGGGAGAAGCAGCGATAGGACAACTCACTCTGATATGTCAGACATGCACACAAGCAGCAGCATGTACGAGAGTCTCCGCACCTCATCGGGCTTCCACAGCTGCATCCGTGCCAGCGGGCCGTACTCCACGCGAACCACGTCCTGATGACAATATTGTGTAGGCGTGGTGGTTGGGTGGATGGTGCACACTGCATTCACTCAGCGAGTTACCCTGAGGCTGATTTCGTCCTTGAGTCTCCTCGGATCGGTGCCCCAACGCAGCATCAGGCTCGATGACACCTGCACATAAGACGCGTACAGGATGTCATATGACACACCCCGGACTTCTGTCCTCTTTGTATGTGTGACCTGCACGAATCTGTCGACACGTTTGTGCTGGCCGTGGAAGTGAGCCTTCCTCAGGAAGGTGCCGGCCATGATGGCCCGCAGCTCCCCGCTGACACTCTCAGCGGGATCGCGGGATGGCCTGTGCCTGCAGGCATGGACGGCATGGCAAGCCATACGGATCCACTGGTGTGGGAATGGATGGTATTCTGACCTACCTGAGTTTGTGTATGAGCTGGTCCTTGATGGCCAGGTCCTGCTCGAGGGCCGTGCACCGCCGATTGTAATCATCAATCACCTGACCCAGCTGCATGGCAGATAGACAGGAAGGGGCGGTGATCTCCGTATGTCTGCGTGTGCTGCGTGTGCGACGTCCACTGACCGCTCTCTCCCTTTCGCCGCTGAGCTGCTCGATCAAGGCCTCCCTCTCAGCCTGTGGAGATATAGAGGGATTCACTTACACTTGATGGCCGGCTTGTGCTGTTGCCGTCCTTACCGTGCTGCTGCGCATCAGAGCATCGACCTGCTGGCGACATTCGCCCCGGATGCCCTGTGTCTTCCATTTCAGCTGGCGCATCTCGCTCTCTGTCCGCTCAAGGGCTGCCAGCTGCACCAAAGTAAAAGAAGTGCCTGGTGGCGTCCCTCTTTGCCCACACATATGTTGTTGCCCTCCCCACCCACCACTTTGGTGCACTTTTCCTTGAGGGTCTCTTCCAGACTGGTGTACTTGTCCGCGTGTGCCTGTGTGGCGGTGTCGATCTGGCTCCTGATGTCGGTCATGAGGGCCTGACGCTCCTCCTCTTTACGCTGAGCAGAACAGGCACCAACAAAGGATCTGTATGTATGGGTGAGTGAGGTGTTGAGCTGAGCATCTGACCATAAGTGCCTCGTTGAGCGCCTCTCGCTGCTCCTTCTCTTTGGACAGCTGCTCCCTGAATGAATGCGCACCAACATCCAAGAGAGGGAGCCATTGGCTGGGTCATGTCTTACTCGGCCAGGGAAAGCGCCGCGGCCCCCACTTCGACCTCGCGCGACTTCTGTTCCAACTCCTCACGCAACGACGATGAAGCCCCCTGCAGACAGCAGCAGCAACGTTTCCCTGCCCATGTGGTGCCTGTATGTGTTGGGCTCACCTTGAGTTCGTCTACGGTCTTCTGCAGGTCGTCTATCTGCTGCTCGTGCTCTCCGCGCTGAACCTCTAACCCACGACACCTCTCAATCCACACATCCCTGCATGAACCAACGATATGGAACAAAGGACGGACAAAGCAGCCATGCAGTATACGATGCACCCACCCATCCGCCCCCTCGGCACGTGTGACTCATTCATTACCTGTCAGCCTGCATGTCAGCGCAGGCCTTTTCGATGGCCTTGTCAGCCGAGAACTTCTCGCTCTGCAGGCTGTCGATCTGGCTGGCGTACATCTCCACCTGACGACGGAGAAGGGGATCTTCCTGGTGCGCCTGAATCGCGCCAAGAACGGTCAGTGCGTCACCAACCCACCCACCCATCCGTTCATCCACCCACCTTGGCTCGCGAGCGTTCATCGGCTATCTGTCGCTCCAGCCGCGAGTTCTTCGCCTCAAGCTCCTTCATCTGACAAACCACACAAAAACCCCAGTGCACCACCAATGACGACCCTCCTCCTCACCCCCTCCCTCTCTTCTCACATCGGCCATGAGTTTGTTTGCCCACGTCATGAGTTCCTGCCGGTCCCTCTGCAGCCGCTGCACAGCCGCACTGGGGTCCTCGCGCTCAGCAGCGCCCAATAAGTCCCGACGACTCGACAGCTTGGTGCCCATGGCAGACCCCATGGCAGTGCTGCCGCTGCTGCTCGACCCCCCCTGCGGCAGGAACGGCCGCGGAGGGCCGGGCCAGCCGTCATCGGCATCAGGCGACCTGTGGTTGAGCGATGTGATGTGGCCTGGCTGCCGGGCTGCTAGGGCGCTGCTGCTGCCGCCCTCAGAGTGATACACTGTCACTGTCACGTCATCTGCAAGGCATGCACAGACAGACAGACAGACAGACAAACAGACAGATGCACTGGCCGATCATGTCACAATGCGGCGTACCTCTGAGCTGAGGTCTGCGTGTGGAGGGGAGGTCCATGGGCTGCTGCTGCTCGCGGTAAGAGTGTTCGGCACTCTGGCGGTCGCTCTCTGCCCTCTTGCTGGACGAGCGGATGCTGCGATGCTGCAATACATCAACGAAGGAAACGAAACCACATCACACACATGGGTGAATGCACGTGTGCTGACTGATAGTGCGGTGCATTTGCTGGATGGATGGATGCATTGGGTGGATGGCTGACCGTACATAACATACCATTCGCGAAAGGGCTGCTGCCTCTGCACGAATTTCATCGAGCACTTTCGACGACATGTTGATGCTCATGCTATATATGGCTGCCTATCGAGTTGACCAGATGCCCTCCATCACGAACCCATTCTTCCGTCAAACACAACTCGCCGTTGCTAGCCGGAAAAGGTTCAAAAGATGCAGGCGGCAGGGCCCACGATGACCCCTGGAGATGAAGATCCCGTCCCCTCCGCACCTCCACTCCCACCTCCACCTCCAGTAGCCGTTGCCGCGGCTGCCGACCTCCAGATTCCCATCGGCGATGGCGTGGGCGTGGGAGGGGTGGCAGCAGAAGAGGACGACGGTGACCCTCTGCTGGCGACGATGGCATTTTTGCTGCGAGATACGGAGAAGCGGTTCGATACGTGGATAATGACGGCTCTCATGGCTGACTTAAGCATCGCCCTGCTCTTGCTCAAGATACTGGTGAGTGAGTGGGGATGGGATCGTGATGGACACACGGGGATGGCTCGTGTGTTGTGTGTGATCAGGCTCCTGGGATGGTGCCCCCGTGGCTGGGCGGCGGGCTGTTCCCCTGGTGGCTGATCCTGCTGCCCCTGTTCCTTTTAGACGTGTACAACCTGTGCTTCGCACACTACCTGTGGCGAAATAGGCGCATGCTCATCAAACACGAGGTCACTCACTCAGCCAGAATCATCCATCCACTCGCACATCCATCATTGGTTGGGATGGTGAGTGTACTCGTGGTGTGTGTGTGCAGGCGCTGCGCACGGCAACCTTGGCGGCGTCCGATGCGCTGTACAAGGTGCTGCTGCTGGTGCACCTGTACTCGCGCGGCCGTCGCGTGTTGAATCTGCGCCTGACGATGGTCCCCACTATCATCGGATACGCTGCACATTTCTGCATGGGATCCGTACACGACATTGTAAGCAGCGACCCCACCAGCACCATAACATGGGGTGTGTGTGTGTATGTTTGTGTGTGTTGGGTGCATGCAGCCTCAGGCGGAGGGGTGTGGCGTCATCTCGCGAGTGCTGGGGGAGTTCTGGAGATTCCTATGGGTGGGTGCGACCGAGCTGGCGGGCACATACATTATTTCTTGTGTGTATGTGTGTGTGTGTGTGCTGATGACATACATTATGTGGCTTGCAGTTTGTGCTCCTGGTGAGCCTCTCTTGCAAAGGGGACAATGCGTCGGGCTACTCGTGGAAAGCAGCCTTCTGGTGAGCAGCCATCCTGTGTTGTGACAGCCAATTAACCAACCAACCAGTGTGTGTGTCGTGTCAACACATATATACGTCACGACCAGGCCGCTGTGGGGTTTCTTCGGCGTGCTGTGTCTGCTGCTGGTGGTGCTGCTCCCAGTGTGCGTCGTCACGGCGTTCCTTGATAGAACCAGAAGTAAGCCGAAGTGACACACATGTAGATCTGCATACGTTCCTGTTTGTGTGCATCGCATCGCATCGGTCAACCAACCAGTGTTGATGGTGGGGTGGCTGTCTTTGGTAGCTGCCGGTCTGGCCGCCAGCTCACTCACCACCGCCGTATCACTCAGCCACACCCTAGACAACGGTAGGTGCCAATGAATCGTCTGCCACATCCACACACAACTGAGGGTGTGGTGTGGTGTGGTGTGTGTACAGGTCTGTGCGGCCCTTCTCTCAGCTCGTCCCAGTGCTCTGACCAGCTGGAGTTGGTGCTGATCCCATGGCTGGCCTATTTGTCGGCCTGCGTCATGTCGGCCGTCATCCTGCGCAAACCACTCTGGTAAGTCAGCCATGCACCCTCCGTGGCAATGTACGGTGTGTGGTGTGGATTATCTGTGTTATGTGTGTGCAGCTATGCGATGCACGCGACGTGGTTCGTGCCCGCCCCGCCCGACGGCCCGCAGCCAAACAGGGCCCCGCTCGCCATGAGGAGGGCACACAGACTGCCCACCGAAATGGTACACAAGGCTCTCATGAAGTCATCCCATACAAACAGTGTTTGTGTGTGTGTGTGTGTGGGTGTCAGTATCAGGTGACCTCTACGTTCTTCACGCTCCGGCCGCCGTCACCAGAGGTGCGCCGCACCGCCCTCGCGGCGTCGTCACGTGTGCCAGGTGAGGCGGCCCAGGGCGCCCAGGGGGCGCAGCTGTCCAACAGGCCGCCCGAGCACTCACCCAGACACCTGCTGGACCCGCCCTCCTCAGTGATGAACTCGTTCTTCGGTCAGGCAATGTGCCGTGTGCACCACAGCACATGCATCTCTTTCTCCCTCTGTGAGTGTGTGTGGGGTCAGGTTCGTCGATCGACGAGGCGTGTGAGGAGGATTTGTGTTTCGTGTGCTTTGACGTCAAGCCCGACGCCATCCTCTACCCGTGCGGCCACGGCGGGTCCTGCGTCAAGTGCGCGTGCAACATCGCCAGGAGACAGCAAGCCAGATGTGCCATCTGCAGACAGGTACGGACCTCCCCTCCCCTCCCCCCTCCCTCTCCCCCGCCCAGTCGCGTGTGTGTGCAGACGGTTGGAGCAGTGTTGCGCATCACGGCTGGCCCTTACAGTGCTGCCGAGGTGGACACGTCTCGTGGGTTGGGTCTGCTGCGAGCGCATAGGAGTGCGCGGAGCGTCGGTGTGCAGCCCAGTGCGGGAGGAGACACTAGTGACGCGACCACCACCGGCGGCAACGTTGCTGAGAAGCCGCTGATGCGGCGATTCAAGAAGGTACGTACGCCTACAGGCACGTGTTTGCCTCTGCTCTGTGTGTGTGAATGTGTTGTATGTGTGTTTGTGCAGGTAAGGGTGGAGCCGGTGAGTATGCGGGAAATAACGACAGGGGCCGCTGCAGCAGCACGGAGACGGCGGTAGCCATGTCTAGAGAATGGATGGATGGATGTGCACTGGAGGGTGGGAGAGAGGAAAATAGGGTCCGTCTGCCTGACACGTACGATGTTCACCATCACATGTGCGACGTCTCGACGTCTCTCAGTGCCATCCGCAGGGATGGGGCGTGCGGCGGAGTAGTTCGATGTATGTATGTATGTCTGTGTGTATTGTCATCCTTTGTTGACATTTTGTTTGTGAGTGAGTGGCCACAAGTTTGGTGCTCGTTGGTGTACAGTAGCCGTGTTCAGAGTGGCGAATGGGGGACACCGTCAGCAATTTGCTGCGAGATAAACAATTACACAGCTGTCTTATCCGGTAAGTGCACCGATATTGATGCAGTCGTCCATCGCACCAGTCATCCCTCTCGCACGTGTGCCCCCTTCAGCCGACGTCAGTGTACGGAGCCCCACGCACTGAGCCGTCACAGTGATGAGGCAGCATACACAGACGCTGAGACAAGGACGCAGCCGCACAGAGAGAATCGCACCAACGAGACACATCGAGTACACACACATGGGTCCCGAGCAGCCCCCTGTCCGTCAGGCTGACTGGCAAAGAGTGTCGGCCGTTCTCTCTCTCGTCTGTGTCCTTTGGGTGTCCTTCGCCCCCCACTCACACACGAGGTCTGCGGGACGGAACCAACCGACACACAAGACGGCGTGCATGGGGAGGGGGCCAAGGGCACCCACCAGACACCGCCAGGCTCGCTAATCACATTAGCTAAGGATCCTCCCGCACTACAAAAGTCCGTCTGTAGGTCCGATGGCCATCGCCTCCCACACAAATGGACCGTCATGCGCTTCTCAGCACATCTCGTTTGCCTCTGCTCCGGCCGCCCCCACCGCCATATGGCGACATCCGCACACTCGACCGGCGCGCCCCACCGCCGTGGCCAACAGCATAGGGCCTGCAGAAGTGGGGCAAGGTGCGTGTGTGTGAGTGAGATGGTCTGTGTGTGTTGACCTGAGTGTCTTGGTGTGTTTGGGTCGGTCAGTCCACTGCGGTGTGTGGTAGAGAGTGCCGTCGTAGAGCGGCTGCAGCTGCCGGGCACACTCGAGAACCTCACCCTCACTGACACACACACACACACACACACACAGACAGACACACAGACACAGAGAGAGAGAGAGAGATTGGGACAGGCAATGCACCAGAGACTTAGTTACAATGTTCTCAATGATCACTCACACACCGACCAGCACCCCCACCCTCCCCGACCCCTCTGCCCCCACCTGATATCCTCAGAGAGGAATTCGGTCCATTTGACTGTCTTGCCTGTCGCCCTGCCGTCGCCCGCCATGGTGATCTTGGGCATCTTCAGCTTCAGAAACCGCACACTCAGACACAGACACGCTAAACCTGCACACACACACACACACAGAAGTGGGTCGTCCAAACGGACTGATGTGTGTGTGCCCCGGCAGACAGAGAGACCAGCTGACCGATGAGTTGCGGTGTCTCGACGAGTGGCAGCCGTGTGTGGTAGGCGTCGACGGCGAACATGAGGGCCACATTGCGGAGGTCCTCGATCTTGGCAGCTGACCATCGACAAACCGCAGCGACACACACACGACGGCATCAGAGGGTGTGGTGCCCAGGCACTTGTTTACCGGTGGCTATGTAGGTCGACAGTTTGGTGACGTACGAGTGGATGTGCGGGACGGCCGTCTCCATGTCGAAGTCAAATGACAGCTCGTAAATGATCTGAACACACACAGAAGCCACACACACAGGTCCATCAGTGCATCTCTCTCTCTCTCTCCCTCTCTCTCTCTCTCTCTCTTGCCTGAAACTCCGTCGCGATCATGGCGCTCTCAATCCCGCCCCTCACCGCCTACACGCACACGCAACACACACACCCCTCAGTGTCTGTCTGTCTGTCTGTGACGCCCACAGTGTCCCTCTCAGCTGACCTCCCACACGCCATCCTCCTTCTCCTTCTCCCCCTTTGGCTGCGGCTGTTCGTCTCGGCTGTCCACCATGCTGGCAGGCGACGGCGGCATCGCCGGCGAGGCGATCGACGAGTGCTGGGCCGGGGTGGGGCTGGGGGGTGATGGGTGTGTGGCCACCAGTGGCTGGAGGGGCGTCGGCTGGGCCCTCTCGCGCCTGATGATGCAGTCGGCCAGTTTGGGTGCGCGGAGCAGTTTGCCCTCCATCTTGGCGGCCAGAAACAGACACGACGCCGCCAACACCTGTCACACACACACACAGATGGCGGCAGAGAGACCTGTGTGTGGTGTGCAGAGTGTGTGTGAGTGTTACGGTCTCGTCGGCGTCGGTCAGTTTGGCTTTGAGCGACAGCCTCTGCAGCACAAACAGCGCCGTGCAGCAGATCTGAGGCGACGACCTGACACACAGAGAAAGTGGATCTCCCTGTCTGTCTGCCTGCGTGTGTGTGGTCCCACACCTACAAGTGTGTGTCCTTGGCCAGTTGGATGATCATGTGGGCGGCGGACAGCACTCGAGATGGCGGAGGGCCCGCCACTTGAGCGCGCGAGAAATACACCGCGCGGCATCCCATCTGCCGACCGCCGCGGCCGCACAGAGCCGAAAGCTCGTCGTTGCGCATCATTTTCCGATCGCGCTGTTGCGAGCTTGAAGCGTTCTTCAGCCAAGCGCTTTTGCAACGGCCTGGCATCCTGGCGGGCTGCGTGCAAGCGAGATCAGCGGCTCTCTGTGAAAGATCCGCACCAAAGAGTGCTCCAAGCTCGTAAGCTCTCGCGAGAGAGAGGAGAAGATATCTCCCATGCGGGAGAGGTGTCTTGCGTGTCTTGCGTGTCGTGTGTCTTGTTCCCCGGTCGGCCCTCACCTCTTTCCTCCCACCCAGCCCATCTATCGCTCTCTTTGCACTGCTTCCTCCCTCGGCCCCCTCAGCTGTCCAGTCTCTCTCTGCCCCGACTCCTGTCAGTCTTAGTCGTGTCTGTCGTCCCTCGGCCGCTCAATCATCGATGGTCCGCTTCGCAATGACGACGGCTGTTGTTTTGGTCGCCATGGCCATGGTGGTGTCTGGAGGGCCCAACGAGGCTGCTGCGCCCAATGTGCTCCGCTCTTTCCGTGCCAAGGCCGCCCATGACAAGTAGGAAAAGGCCAACCAAGCACACACCACACACGAGCCACACATCTCTGTCTGTCTGTCTGTCTGTCTGTCTGTCTGCAGTCAGCCGCCACTGCGTCGCGCCCAATTCGGTGGCGTCAGGCTTCCAAGTGTCAGTGTCCCCCACGTCAACTTCGTCCATTCTCCTGCTAACCTTGCTGTCGAGGATGTCGGCCGTGAGGGTCGGAAGGCCGTCCAGTCCGTCGGAAATGCCGTCCGCTCGGCCGGAAGTGCGTTGGGCTTCTAGATGAGAGGCACGCATCCGTCAATGGCTGGATGCACTCACTGAGGCTGGGCTGAGATACACACACACATGTGTACGTACAGCAGACAGCCTGAGATGAGTTCATGGGCTGTTTTCATCTTTGCTGACTTCTCTTCTGCGGGCTGACTTGACTGAGTGCATGCGGGGGCTTGCACTGCACAGGGGTGGGGGGGTCAATGTGTATCTCTCCCTCTCGGTAAATGTGCCTTGTGTTGATAGGATTGCATCGTTTCTGTCTGTCGACAAGTTGTCGACACGTTTGAATGTATGTGTGTAGAGCTAGTTGGACGTTTGGATGTATGTGGCTCTGTCCTCGTGTGTGCCACATTTGATGAATTGGCTCGTGCGCGGTGTTTGATATGTCGGTTGTGCCGTGCTGGGTGTTGTCGTTGGTTGCCCGTCGATCCCAGCAATGAGGGGATTGGTCGAGCTGTGATATATATGTGCAGGTGGGATGACATTCACGTGAGGGAGGGTGGATGGCATGGTGTGTTCGGTGGGAAGGGAAGACACCGCCGTCAATGAACCTTCAGTTGTATTAGAGGGGTCGATACATGGAGTGTGCGCGGAACGGGTGTTTGCATCATGTGACACGTGTGGTGACTGACGATGAATTTCCAAATGCATCACAGAAGAGTATCCACCTGTCAGCTGCACTGCACCGATATTGATGCAGTCGTCCATCGCACCAGTCATCCCTCTCGCACGTGTGCGTCCTTCAGCCGGCGTCAGTTTACGGAGCCCCACCACTGAGCCGTCACAGTGATGAGGGCCGGTACACCGACAACGACAAAAGGACGCAGCCGCACACAGAGGATCACACCAACGAGACACATCAAGTACACACACATGGGTCACGAGCAGCCCCCTGTCTGTCAGGCTAGTTGACACGGAGTGTGGCCATTCTCTCTCTCGTCTGTGTCCGTTAGGTGTCCTCCGCCCCCACTCACACACGAAGTCTGCGGGACGGAATGAGCCGACACACAAGACGACGTCCGAGAGTGACGGCCAAGGACACCCACCAGACACACGAACAGTGACACACACGGCATTTGGTCATTTCGCCCCATAACGAAAACGTCGACGAGTCACGTCAGGGTGGTGCACATCGCTACTCAGATGGACGTCTCGGCTAACTGCCCTTGGTGCCCACAGACCCATTCCCTCGACCCCCGCCCCCACCCAATACATCACTAATACAAAAAACAAGCGGGCACCCGCCACACACACAGATTCGCAAGAAGGGGCGCATACGGCCTGCCTCTCAGCAGTTCTGTTCTCGCTGCCTCGCTGCCTCCCAGCCCTCCAAATGAGTTACAGCTCATCGACATCTCAGAGGGACGACATTGCCACTGACACCGATTTCATCTGAGTCGCGACACCACACCGCCAGACACACACTCACACACACACACAGAGACACATACACGCATCAAAAACGGCAAAACGGCCCGCACCCCAAATGCGTTACTTGCATGTGGTTCGTGTCACGAGGTCCACTGAGCCGACGGCCACAAAGCTCACTTGGTGGCGATTGACACGACGCCATCAAGTTCTCTTTGTCGCCGCATTCGCAGTGGAGCGCTTGACACACCCCACCCACAGGCACGACTCAAATCTTATCTGAACATGTCTCCCCTCACACATTCACACATTCACACATTCACACACTCATTCACACACGCACATCACTGTCCGTCTCGTTGACGTAGGACACCTGCTTGGCCGAGAGTTCCCATGACGTCGATGCCGCCGTGTCGCCGGGGTAGTACCCCACGAACAAAACAGCGCCCATCACACCGGCATAGTGTCTGTCGCGCTGGTAGTGCACTGTCGCCCGCATCAAGTCGCCCGTCTGCAGCACCCTCTCGCCCTCACCGTAGTTGCACTGGGTGATGCCCGTCACATAGCCCAGCTCGTCGCCAGCCTTGCGTGGCGTGGTGCCGTAGATGGCCCGCATGTCGCACTGCCACTGCTCCCTCACGCCGGCCACAGACGCACTGGTGCCGCCCACGTGCAGGTGGGAGCGGACAGTGATCAGATGGAAGGGCTGGTTGACGACGACAGTCACCCTCTTGGTGTGGACTCACTCGCTGTCCTCCCCGCCGAACAGCAGCCGCCGCAAGGCGGCGAGAGGCTCACTCTCTTTGGGGGCGCATGGGAAGACGTTGTACTCCTGTTTGCCCTTGACGATGTCGAGGCCCATGTTGGCGCGGACTGGCTTGACGTCCGGGGTGACATCGCCGTAGCGGACAGTGTACCTAACGCGATAGTACTTGGCGGCTGGGCTGGTGCCGAAGTAGAAGAGGTGGATTGGCGGCCGGAAGATGTCATCGGTGTTTGAGTTGCAGTCTGGGCAGTGGGCGGGGTCGTCAAAAGGGTCAGTATCGCTGGCCCTCGAACGAAATGTGGCAGTGGGTGCCGTCTTGGCAGCACTTCAGCGACCCGTGACGGCCGTCGGGGGCGCAGCGGCACTGAAGGGCACAAACAAGCAGCATTGCGTGGCCAATTGGTGTGTTGTGTTGTGTGTCTGTGGCTGTGTGATCACCTGAAGGCAGGCTCGCACATTGGTCACGTTGTCTGTCCTCAGCAGGTGCATGTTGAGCCACCAGGACTCCTCGCCGGTCGTCGTGAAGGCAAAAGGGGGGCTCAGCGATATCATCGGCGTCCCTGACAGAGCAACCAACAGGCCACCATGCAGCGAACTATACTGCCTGTGTGTGCAGTGGTGACTGACCCCTGGTCTCGGCGCCCACAATGAGTGCGCGTGCGAGGTTTCTGCCTTCGTCGCCGGGCAAAGTGTAGAACAAAGACCAGTGGTGTGTATAGACCTGAAGACACACACACACACGCACGCACACACACGGCCTCAGCTGCTTGTGTGTGTGGGTGTGGGTGAGTGTGCGGCGTTGACGCATTACCTCATCGAGGGGCACGCTGACGTTCCTTTCGTCGACAATATCGACCCACAGAGAGCGGATTGCCATCGGCTGGCGCGGCAAGGGAATCGGCACGTCAAAGGGATACCTACAAGCAAGAGCAAACATGCAGTGCAGCCTTGCGGTGCGGTGTTGTGTGTGAGTGCCTCACGTGTTGAGCACATCGCCTGGGAAGAGGGGAAAGAGAGAGCTCACAAAGATGGCCTCTCCCTCGCCGCCGTCGGACAGCAGAGTGGTCTGGTGGTGGCTGAAGGACAGCTTCACATCGCTGCTGCTGCCCTCTGTCGGCACGAAGCGGGCGAAGCTCTCGAGGTGGACCGCGGCCGCAGCACCACAGAGGACCAAGAAAAAGGCAAAGATCAGGCCGAAGGGAAGGGACATTACGGCCCTCAGAGAGGCGCAGAGGGGACCAGGGGAGAAGAGAAGAAGCGATGAGTGGCTTTGCGATCAAACGTCGCTGGTCGATCTGCAGCCAGTGGAACTGCAATGGGGCCGTACCCGGCAGATCACTTGAACTGTCATTGCCCGTCCTCCAGATCAGTGTTCACACCCAACGCAGGCAGCTTGACATTCCACCCGACTAATGCTCTCTGCTGCCTTCTACGCCCATCACCCAACTAAGAAAGCCGTGCATGCAATGCAATGGAAGTACTCGCGTGTGAAGCCAGCGCTGTCGTCGCTCTCCCAAGAAGCAGAAAACACTCGAGTAGATCCCCCTCCCCTTCCCTTCTCTTCTCTCGAGGCGGTCGAGAGATGTGCCTGTCTACCTACACCTAGTAGCTGAGCCATGGTCCGTTTGTTCACTCATTCCTTGGGGAACCGATGACGGTCATGGGGCGTCAGGAGCTCCTTCACCACACCGGGGCCTGCACAGCCACTCAACACACATAAGAGATGGGCGCTTTGCTCTCTCTCTCTCTCTCTCTGTGTGTGTGTGTGTGTGTGTGGGTGTGTGAGTGTGTGTGTGTGTTGGTTGTGCCTGGCGTACCGACTGGCACGAGTGCGTAGGGGTTGATGGACTGGTGGGATGAGTAGTAGTGCACCTTGATGTGGTCCATGTTGATGACCTTCTGGATGGCCGGCATCTGGCAGATCTCCTTGACGTACCCGTGGGTGTTGGGCAGGTCAGCGATGCGCTTCTGGTTGCACTTGAAGTGAACCACATACACCTGACGAGGAACCACACACCACACCACACCACACCACACCACACAGGGACAGTGTTTGTCGGACTGTCTATCGTCCCACTGACCTCATCGAAACGGACGAGTGTCATGAAGAGGCGAAGGTCCGCCTCCGTGAACCGCGGGCCGGTCAGGTAGCGCTGCTTGGACAAAATCGACTGAGCGAAGCAAATGACAACAGTTACGTCTTACGGAACACGATGGCAGTTCACTCACGCACACCTCGACACGATCAAGTGCCTCGAACAGCTCGTATGATGCCTTTTCGTGTGCCTCCTGCGACTTGGCGAAGCCGCACCGATACACACCGTTGTTGATGGAAGGATACGTCCACTCGTTGACCTGAAGGCAGGCAGACAAAAAGGGTTGCTGCACTTTCAAAGCAGACGGTGTGAGAGTGTTCTCCGCCGCCCCCACCTCGTCGATTTGTTTGCTGAGCGCCTCTGGGTAGAGGTCCAGCTGGGGATGTTTGGCGACGTCATTGAACTCCTGTGAAAGCAAAAGGCAGCCACAGCAACGGCACATGCGCAGACATCTGCCCACCACACGACATCTGCACCGCATGTGATCACGGCTGACCGAGTTGAACATCCGGATAATCTCTGACGACTCTGCAACCGCCACACACATAGCACAAGCACCGACCACCAACCACATTGCACCCTACCCTCCCCTCTCTCCGCCTCCCACCCTCCCAGCCCCCTCACCATTGCTGCAGATGGTGTTGAGCTTCTTGTCCCACAGGACAGGCACCGAGTACTTACCGACCGAGTCCTTTGCCTTCTCATAGAGGTCTCGGATGAACTTGGCACCGTTGACGTCATCGGGCACCAGCGCAGCGTCGCACTCGAATGACCCCACGCCCCAGGCACTCGTGAAGGGGGGGTCCTTGGGCTTGGCGAAGGCCCATCCCACATGCTCGTCCAAATCTGACGACGGCATCGCATCGCATCATCATGACATGACAACAAGGGTGAGGTGACACAAGCAGAGCAGATGCCTCTGACCTGGTCGTGTTCTCTGCATGGTGGGGTGGACGACCGACACGCCGATGACGTCTTCGAGGCCCTTGAGTGAGCGCATGGCCAGGCATCTGTTGGCCCACGGGCATGCGTACGACACGTAGAGGTGGTAGCGGCCAGCCTCGGGCTGGAACGGCGTAGAGCCGTCCTTCTTGATCCTGTTGCAATGCATAGGATGCCATCCCATCCCACAGCACACACTCACTCGTTCATTCCTATTAATCAGTATCGCTGACTGACCAATTCCGCCATCCTGCACACACAATATTACACAGCACATCAATCACAGTGAGTGGAGTGTATTCTGCTGCACTCGGTGACTGTGGCCCGCCCGCCCCTCGACGCGCACCCCACCTGCGTCAGAGCGGACAAACTCCCCCTTCCTGCACAGACAAACAAAGAAACAAAGAAACAAAGAAACAAAGAAACAAAGAAACAAAGAAACAAACACAGAGATTCATCACAGCAGGGCATTTGCAGCAGCCTCCGGTGCATCGCGTCGCTGACTGGCTTATTTCATTCTGCCAGGTGGTCTTCGCCGCTGTACTCATGCTGACTCGGAGGGGCGATGGACCGATAAAAAAACGGCGAAGAGGCGATGTCTGGAACGCTCTCAGGGGCCCAGCCAGCAGGAGAACACGGAGAAAAGAGCCCAAAAGGAGATCCACCATTCTAAGCTCGCAAGCTCGCAGTTTTGTCACGCCTCGCCTTTGTGATGATTTTTCGTTTCTGCGCCCCTTGCCCCTCTCCCAGGACAGCCCCACGACCCATGCCGGCGTTCGACGAGGTCGTCGAAGGCTATCCGCACACCTTGAGCGATGCTGTGATGCTGGCAGATCTGGAGAAATGCGGCCTCAGGGATGCCGATGGCCCTCCGGTGAGGCTGCGCTGGACGAGGGGGGAAGCCGCCGTGATGAGAATTCGCTTGCATGCGACACTTCTGTGTTCCCTTTATGTGGGTGTGTGGACTGTGCAGCTGAAAGGCATGCTAGCAACGGCCCGCCGACTCCGCCGTGCACTGGTGCGCTTCACCAGTGCCTTCGCCACATACAGGACGACCATCTCGGGCCGCCCCGCCATGGCCACCTCCTCTGCCCCTCCCGCCCCATCTCTGGCGTGGCATGTGGCGTGCACCCCGCTGCCACACCCGCTGTCACCGGCATTCGATGAGCACCTCAAGGGCAGTGTGAGGTCGGATGGCATGGGGCAGCTGGGGCCGCTCGGCAAGGAGCTCAAAGACGCATATAAGGAGTACCTTTCGGCGTGCGTGCGGCTCTACACGGGCGAGTCATATAAAGAGGTACGCAGATCAGATGGATGCGATGCGTTGGCGGCGTTCTAATCGTCAGTCACTGTGTGGGCTTCGTCTGTGCGTGTGTGCAGCTGAACAGGGCTTTGCGAGAGGACGACCGTGTGCAGCTGCGTCGATACGCCCCCTACATCCTCTGCCTGCGGGAGGCGTTCCGCTCCGACATCTCCCTCCTCACCCCGTTCACCAAATCATCCTTCCGCGGCGTGAGCCACACGCGCGATCAGCTCGCCGCATGCACCCCCGGCGCAGTGGTGTCCTGGACGGCATTCTCGTCGAGCAGCACCAGAAAAGGGGTGGCGGAGAACTTCTGCAAGGGCGTGACCTTCCACATCAGGTGCGAGAGCGGGGGTGGGAGTGGGAGTGGGGAGGTGGCGTGCTATCGGCCCTGCAAGATCAGCCACCTGTCGTCACACCCGAACGAGTATGAGGTGCTGCTGCCGTGCAACTGCTCGCTGCGTGTGGTCAAGGTGGGCACACACACATGCATGTTCTGCTGCAATTGTTCTGCTGTGTTTGATGCAGGTGAGCAAGGACGCTTGCAACACCAACATCGAAATGGAGGTCGTCGGGTTCCCCGCTGTGTCCCGCCCGGCCTCCGAGCAGACATTGGCAGACGAACCCGCAGATGCTGGTGGTGGTGGTGACAGCAATGGGGAGGAGGGGCGTGGGGTGCGTGGGTGGATCAGTCGGCTCATCATCACTCTCACCCGACGGGAGGGCAAGATCTGATGTGCATATTTGTGTGTCCATGATGGTGCATATGATGTATGTATGTGTGAGTCGTTTTTCGTCCACCAGTAAGTGGATTTGTCAGTGTGGATGTGTGCTGGCGTGTCACTCGCCAGCGCATGCACCGCACCTGGTCTACCTGTGCGTGTTGTATCTATGCATCTCTCTCTCCATCTCTCTCTTCCTCCCTCCCTGTGGTTGGCTGGGCTAAGTAAGTTGGTACGGTGTGTATTTGTGTATGTGTTCTAGGACATATATACATGTGCAGGCGTATATGTGTCCTAGGCCTTTCCTCTGTGTCTTTGCACACAATGGGTGGATGGATGGACGGATGGAGGCGAACGAGTGTGAGCGAGTATTTTGTAGTTGAGATGAGCCAAAGAGATGGACGTGGGGATACACAGACATTGATTCTATAGAAGTACAATATAGTGCAATACGAATCCCCAAAAAGCTCACAATCATAAAGTCTCACATCACATGGTCACGTCAGATCCAGCCCATCTTCCTCAGCCATTCCCGTGTCCTCTCATTGAGCACTCCCCCACCCCTCCCTCCCCCCCCTCGCCGCTCATAGTAGTACACTAAGCCCAGCAGCACCAACACACCCACTGCAGCCCCACACAGCGGCCCCAACACAGCCAGCAGCTTCACCATGGGCGAGTGCGACCGCTTCAGCCGGCGACACACCTCCCTCTCCCCTCCCCTGAGCTGCTCCTCCAGCTCTGCCAGCCCCTCCAGTGCCACGAAGGTCAGTGGCGGAGGGCCGTGGTGGTGGTGGTAGTGGTGATGACTGCCGCCGCCAGCAGCGCCACTGGTCGCTCCTCCTGATGCGGCTGATTGTGTGGCAGCTCTGTGGTGGCGTACATACGAAGTGAGTAGGGAAGGGGGTAGGGGTGTGCGGCGGCGGGGTGGCCTGCGGGTGGGGTCGCTCAGACGCACATCGCGGAACAGCCATGTGGCGCTGGGGGGCTCCTGCAGACAGACACACACACACGGGGACACAATGAATGCATGTTTGGGTGTCTGAGTGTGGTGACCTCTCCCCATTCACCCACCTGCAAGGATCTTCTGACGTCGACGATGAAGTCTGTCGGCCCAATGCGCCCACACATATCGTTCCACACGTCAGTAACCACTCCTCCCCCATCACCAGCGGCATCACTGTCAGTGCCACTGTTGTCGAAGTAGGGCAGCACCACCATCCACGCCTTGGCTTCGTTGGCCGCCACGTCGTGTGTGCTGTCATGGCTGATGCTGCTGCTGTTGTGGCGGTGGTTGAACGGCGAGCTGGGGACCGATGGCGGAGGTGTGTAGTAGTATGTGGACATCGGTGGGTGCGTGTGGATGGCTGTGAGGGAGGCCGGGAGGGGCAGCAGGGACACTGAGGTGTCGGCCTGCCGGATCCGCCGGTCCGACTCGCTCTTGGCACTGTTCAGAGGGAACAGCAAAGGGGGCAGCACCTATGGCATACACGCACACACACGCAGAGAGATTCCATCCAACCAACAGCCTCACAGACGCGCCTCTGATCACCTTACTGACCTTGCTGTGTTTGCCCCCATTGATATGTGCGGCCCTCTCGGCCGCGACGAGCAGCCGCTGCACCTGCCTCCCCCAGAAGGCCCGCGTCCCCTGCAGCTCCTCGCTCTCCCACGGCGGCGGGGTGGGCAGCTCACCCCGGCCCACATATCCCGCCACCTGCTCCTCGCCGCCCTCCAGCACTACCAAACACGAGAATGTGATGCGCTTGGAGATGTCGACTGGCATGGAGAGGGTGGAGAGGAAGTCCTCGATGGGCTCGGAGGGGACCGCGGGGAGCTCGGATGGAGAGGGAGGGGGCCGGGAGGATTGGTCTGAAGGTGATAAACAGAGAAAGGCAGGGGAGGGAGGGAGGGACGCATGGTCTGTATCTCCTGGTGATTGTGCGTTGTGTTGTGTTGTGCCGTCCTTCCTACCTGCAGTGTCTGGTGTGGCTTTTGGATGGAGTGATGGCCGATAACCCAGCCTGCAGCACAACGCACATGCCCCTAAGAAGAATGCCATACCTCTCCCTCTCCCTGTCCCTCTCTCACCTCCGCAGTGCGCGCACGGCCATGCCCGGGTCCCCGACGACCATGGCATTCCACCCCCCCAGCCACGTCATCCCATCCACCCACACGTCACCGACCTCACCACGACCGTCAACCCCTCCCTCCCCACCACCCACCATCTCCCCCATATGCAGGTGCTGCAGCCGGGAGGGCGGCGGCATCGACTGATAAGACAAGCTCACGAAGAAATCCACCACCTCCGGCGGCAGGATGGGGCCGTCATGCGAGTGAGGCGGCCGCATGAGGGCCGACAGCGGACAGCGGACTGACGAGAGGGGCCTGTCCGTCATGATGGCCGTTGGGGAATGGCCTTCGTGTTGATGGAGCGCGGCGGGGTCTCCCCCATCCTCAGCTTCCCCTTCGTTCTGTGCGAGGTTGATGAAGAGCTGGGTCAGGAATTGCGTTGCGGGCTGTGTGAGTTGGTACGAGTGGGCGGGGGGCGGAGGGGGCACGGCCAGGGGGGTCAGGTCGTAGCCGTCATCGTAGCCAAGAGACTGATAGATTAGATTTACACAACACACGGAGAGGAGAGTGTCCACGTGTTGGTGCCCTGCCCTCACCTTGAGAGCCATGTGTGCAGTAATGGCCGTGTCGCCCACACTGAGAGTCCGTAGGAGCTGCTCCAGCCCGTCACTCGTCATCCGCCCCTGGACACACCCAAACCGACGCTCCAGCTCACACCTGCGCCGCGCCCATACACACAAGGTGCATTGCAACGCACACATGACCTTTCCACACACATCGAGACTGCCTGTGTGTCTTTCTCACCGGAGTCTCTCCACCTCATGTGTCGCGAGGCCCACCCTGAATCCCCACAGATGGAAGCCCACCAGATCACGGTCCTCCCACACGCCACGCAGGCGGCCGTCGAAGCACTGGTGCACCTCACGCACCGCTCGTAGCACACTCGGCTTGAGAGCGACGGTCCTCTCTGGTGTGGTTGTGATGAGTGGCGGGATGAAGAGAGCCCGTTCGATGGCCGGGAGGATGGATGGCGTGTCGTGGGGGAGGGTGCAGGAGAGGAACAGCAGGTGGGAGATGGCCTCCTGGTAAAGCAGCCACTGGCGCAGCCTGACAAACAAGCCGACGTGGGCAAGACAACTACATGTATGTGAGTGCCTGTTCGGTCACTCAACTCACCGTTTCTTCATCTCTTCGAACCTCTCGCCCATGACGCCCACCATGTCCACCTTGTTCACCACCACCACACAAGGCCCAGCACCCACGGCCCTCACTCGCCCAAGCCAGTCGCCAATCTCGCGGTCCATCATGCCCTGCTCGACAGAAGCGTCCACGACCAGCACGAACCCCGCCCGGCCGTCCATTGCCGTCAGCTCCTGTGCGGGCGGCAGGTCTGTGTCGTGTGTTTCGACGATCTCGATGTGCGTGCCGTGGTGGAGGTGTCGTGACGAAATGGTGATGGGTGGCAGCGGGCCGACGGGCGGAGAGATGGGCGTGGCTGTACCTGCACTCACCCCACCCCGGAATGTGTCTGTCTCTTTGTGCCGTGTGTGTGCGGCAAAGTGTTGGTCGACTCATTCACTCACCTCTGATGAGGCATTGGATGAAGGATGATTTGCCGGTCTGCGGCGCGCCCATCACATACACACGCCAGTGGCCCATGCCGGACGGTGTTGTACTACCCACTCGAGCAGCCGGCGGCAGGGATGAATGAATCAGCAACAGATCTGCACACGAGCTAAAAAAGGGAACGCACAGGCAATGAGTGTCACGGAAGAGGCGGATCTCTCTGCTCACCTTGGCAGCAGCAAGACAGGCCTTAAGAGATTTCACAGGCAGTCGTTGCCTCTGCTTTCACGCAGATCTTTCACAGAGAGCCGCTGCTCTCGCTCGCACGGAGTCCGCGACGCTGCCAGGCCCTTCGTTGCATTGGGTGTAAGAATAGGTGGGAGAGAGTCGGGGAGAATGGTGAAGAGAGGATCTGCCGGGCGGTCAGTCCCGGATAAAGGATTAAGTTAATGCAACGTAAGGTCTGTGGATTTTGTGG